TGTGTGTGTGAACTTCTATCGTTAACAGGTTTTTATATTTTGAGAAAAGTTATGTGATATGATGTGCCAGACTTGGCATGTACATGAGACTCATCTTGTACATGGATCACTACTGTCACTTACCCGTATTTGTGTGAACTTCTATCGTTAACAGGTTTTTATATTTTGAGAAAAGTTATGTGATATGATGTGCCAGACTTGGCATGTACATGAGACTCATCTTGTACATGGATCACTACTGTCACTTACCCGTATTGATCATCCGCTGTGCTTTTGAGGCGAGGCACATATACAAGTACACAATATTTGTGTGTACATACATATGCAGTATACATAAACAATGTACATTCATGCACATCACATGTACCCGTGTACATAGATGAAACTAAGATTGACAAAATAAATGTATTAATACTAATTTTTGTCTCTTTGTCATGTTGAAGTAATAAGGATCTAATTTATTGACAGGTTGGAAGACGAAAGATGAGAGCAAGCTTGTCCCGAAAAAGTAAGCTGAACGCGACGTGAGCAAATTATTCTCAGGTTTTGTGTAAAAACAGTGCTTCAGTCCTTTCAGATATTGATCAATTTCTTTAACGTAGGATCTATATTCAGTACTAATGATATGTGTCGTGCGTTAAAATCGGATGATCTCCAGAGTTTCCCTAGTAATTATGCGCAGGCAGAGAATTCTCTAGCTTTGTCTCTGCTTAAGCACTTTCTCTACCTGTATGGTTGGGCTTTTTGTTTTGGTCACCTGCTCTCAGGCTCTAGTTCACTTTTAAGTTTACCCGAGTCACTAAGGTAGAGTTGCCTCTTTGGAGTGCTTACTATAAACATGACAGTACACAAAAATTTGAACCTGACAGTAGTAAAATCCTATTATATATCGATGAAGTGCTCAATTTGATTTTCATCTATAGACAAAAGTACTGTGTTAGTGGTTTCAATAATTATGCGTGTGTTAAGATACTTAGTCAGATAAAAGTCCAATCCCAACCAACAGAAAAATAGGCCTCAAGGTTCATATCTGGAAAATCGCACATGTATAAGATAAGGCTGAGGATGAAAAGAAAAGTATGCTAATAAGATATATGCAGAGTCTAATTCAAAACAATGAAACAAGCAAACGAGTGCTTGACACAAAAATTCAAAAGCATCAGATATACTTCTCCTGCTTTCCGCATTTTCACCTGAAGCACTTTTAAAAAAATTCTTACTCCATCCGCCAGAAAAGATCTCTAGAATAAAGTTAGAAGCAAGTAATATGCGCTTATAATATAGTTGAGAAATGATCTACCAGAACCAATATTGAAATCTCTAATGTTTCTAAATGGCAAATTTTGCTAAATGGGAAAAAAATAATCCAAAATGACAATATTAACTTTCATTCCACCAGTCAAATCGCATCGAGCATCAGTCACTCTTATAAACAGAAAAATACTTGTAAATAATTTAGTAAACAACAATGAAGTTCATCCATTACAGACAACTATCAGACGTTTATAATTTGGTAAACATCACATAAAACATTACCAGGCGAAAAAAACAACATACACTGATCTGTAATATCTTCTTTTTCTTTTTTTAACATTTTTATTACCATAGAATGAACAATGATATAGAAAGATATAATATAGCCCTCACTCCTCATCATTTTCTTCCCTCACCCTTGGCACTGCCCCAAAATGCTCCACAAGGATATCAGCAACCAAGGGCACCAAATCCTTACATGGCACACCTTTCTTATAAACATGCCCAAGGTGTGAATCACTCCCAACTCTCCCACCCAAGAAAACATCCACCCCTTCACAAACCTTGCCCTCTGAATCCCTAGTCATGCACCCCATAAACCCGATATCCGCCACCTGAACCTGTCCACAACTGTTCGTGCACCCGGTCCAATGCATTCTCACCATTTTCCCTCCTGGTATCGAAACCACCCTCTCTACCTCCTCGGTGACCTTCATTGCCCTTGCCTTGGTCTCAATAATTGCCTGGCCGCAGAATTGGTTGCCCGTGCATGCAACTAGACCTCTCATCAGAATCGACGGCACTGGCGAGAATTTCTCCTTTAAAAGTTGCTCGTTAAATAAAGCATCAAGTCTCGAATTCTTCACATTGGGTAGGACTATGTTCTGCTCAACTGTCAGACGGAGCTCACCCGTGCCGTACTCGTCTGCTAGTCTGGCTAGCTCGAACATGTCGGAGGCCTGTACACGGCCAACTGGAATGTGGAGCCCAACAAAGGATAGGCCTTCTTGTTTTTGGGGATGGACACCGAGGTAGTCCCTCCTTTCCCATTGCTTTTGGACTAGTTCCTCTTCAGATGCACGCTCTAGGTATTTTTCTGGCATCCTTTTTTCCACTTCAGATCTGAATACTTCTATCCCCTGAAAAATGTAGAAACTCTACGTCATAATGGATCATAATAGAATATTTAATAATATCCAACGATTTTATTTTCTCATATATCACTTGAGTATTGCGAACAAGATATTTGCTTATCTTATCTTCCAGGAGGAGACACAGAGCTTGCAAATCAGCTCTATTTATGGTGGTTCATAGAAAAGAGAAAGATTATTGTCATGAAGGAACATTAAATTCGATCTTCCATAGTTCCATGTCCTTGTTATTTTTTTAAAGACTAACTGTATTTTGACTCCTGAGTTTTTCTTCTTCTTCTTCTTCCTCTTCTTCTTCTTCTTCTTCTTTTTTATTTTTTTGTGAGGGTTCATAATATCATTTATTCGGTGCGCGTATCTCATAATTTCTAAGAATAGTCATATATCCGTGTAGTTTTTTCAAATAATCCGTTGAGTATTAAGATGAAAAATTATGAACATGTTATGAATTGTTTAAAAATTATGATTTTGAACTTACCAGTTCATCAATGAGCCACATCATTCTGGTTTTCTGCCTGTTTCCTCTGGTGCCAAGGTCTCTGTAAGCCTCTAGTACTGCTTTGCACGCTGGAATCATGTCGTCACCAGAGATCCAAGCATCGAGAGGCACGGCCTCTGCACACCTCTTCGGGCTGAAAAATCCTCCAACTAGCAGGTTGAACCCGAACTTTCCATTCTTGATCGCGGGCATGTAGGCCAGATCATTGATGTGGGGGTGTTCATAGAGATCATGGGTACCAACAACACATACATTCCATTTCCTTGGCCTGTTTCAATGCCAACATGTGCAAAATTAGCATTCATCTAGCAGCTTAAAAACTTTGTTAATCGAAAACACTTATTTAGATGTATATAACTGCATAAGCCAGGAAATAATAATGCAGCAATATAATCATGATGAACCATTTTCATTATGTTTCTTACTCATACATAAGACGCATAACAAAAGATGAGTATGACAGATCCTTTGCGTTGATGACATTATACTCTGGAAAGAAGTAATGCATAAAAAAGTTATCTATACACACTAGATGCATATAGATCTGAAGAAAGAAGTTAGTATGATTCTATGGTAATCAGAGGCTAAATGTGGAAGCTTGATTAACTAAAGTGTAGGGCAAATTAGAATAAAGTAAGTATACGTCAGTTGCATTTGAAATTTGGGAGGTGAATAGGGAAAATAAAGCACAAAATTGAAATCCAAATATATACCGCAAGAGCCTGCATCACGTCATAATCAACAATCTAGATGATATAAAATTAGATAAAACCATGAGTAAAATTTTCATTATGCTCATATACAACTTATAAGAGCAACAAAATTAGTACAAGACAATGAAATAATACCAATGTTTCTGCATAGGAATGATTACCGCTGACTGAAGATATCAATCATATTATTAATGTTTGGATTTTAAACGTTTTCTGGATGAAGTGAACATAAAGCACATAATTTAAATCATATTGCATATTAACAATAAAAATAAAAATATTAATCACATAATATGCATAAATATAAGCAAAGAAAACCGAATATCATTTACTTACAAGTTCGTGATGGCGATGTTACCACGAGAGTTATAAGTGACATAATCTGATAAAAGCTTGGTGTATGGTCTTGTATCAATGATCTCATGTGGATCAATACCAGCCAATGGGTTGCCCACTGGGTTGCGCACGTTGTCCATGCCACTCTGCAAACTGGTCAGGCCGACGCGGTTGAGTCCATCCATAATTATGGGCACATCCGGGAGTGTCACACCGCGAATCTGCCAATTCTGCCGTGTCGTAATGTCTGCACAACCTTCAGAGCCATATTTCTCGATGACGCTGGCCAGGTATCGGGTTTGCTCGCTCGTTGTCACACCATTTGGGAGCTTCAAACGCATCATGAATCTTCCATCTGTTAGCAATCACAGTGCTTAGTTTTGTTCAAGGTATCAAACTATGTTAGAATACAAAATCATAGCTCTCATCCCCCACTACAATTTAACCCCACTACAATTTAGGAGTTTTGGTACAAAATCAGCCGAAGGTACCATGAGAAACCAAGATTAAAATCCCATCTAGCCACATGTATAAAGGGAATTTACAAACAACGTACTGCTGCATTGCTCTAGGTTTTGGACCATTAGAAGGATGTCCAACCTACAAGCAGAGCACGTTAGGATGTAAAATTATACCTTTGATATATAGTAGCTCTGATTGATCCATTTGTTGACAATAATAAGGATCACTGTGGTAGGTTTAGACGTAGCTCAAATTTGCGGATCTATGTTTTATGTTGTGCTCTAGCGATGAGTCTACTAGTCAAGACTCCTATCAAATGACAGAAATTGCCAAGGATGCTCAAGAACAACTCTTATGGCCTACAACCACTGGGACTCACATCGAGTAGAATGGAATTGGGTACTAGGATGTTTGCATTTGTATTAGTCTAAAATCTTTATAGTCGAATCGGACAATATCATCGGATTACTTGATAATTATTCAATCAATTTTCTCCTCTGATTAATATCTTTGAAATTAGGATGGTCTGCAAATTGTATATCCTCATAATGCTTGTTTTATGTTTCGAGCTAGCCGTAGTCGAGTACGTTCAAAGTTTTGGATGTGAGGTTAGTGTTGATTTGATGTGGATAAATTGTTCTACGACAAAATCTCGTTATTTGATTTGATGAGGCTTACGTTGTTCTATGACAAAGTCTCGGCTAGTAGCGCCGTGCCACATGATGAACCTAGACTTGGAATAGCGGTAATAATCATGAAATGTGGTGGGCTTTATCAGGTTAGCAACCGAAAGCTACCAGCCCATAGGTTCTCTCTTTTGGGCCCAATCAAGGCGTCTTCTCAGATGAGTTCTACTGTCGTCATAAAATTTAAATAAGTTCGCATAATTAGCGGATCTAGTACGTCTATTCTTAATTTGAAAAATAGTTACCAGACAAAATTAGAGACAGCGTAAACATCACTTACACTGATGCTTGCGCCTGTGGAAGAGGCCAAGCCACTTGAGCCTCACATCAATATCATCCTTGGAAGACTTAGCCTTCTCAATCTCCTCCAGAGGAGTCTTAGCCAACTCCCTTATCCCATCCTCAACCACAAGCTTCATTGGCTCCCTCTCAATCTTAATCTTCTCTTGTGGGTTAATCCCCCCTCTGAACTTCTCCTTCAACACAAAGTAACCCCCCTCCCTCTCCTCCACTCTTGGCTCCAACCTCTCCTCGCTTATCGTCGGCGACGCAGGC